TGGGAGTACATTGGGCCTGCAGACCCCCTCTTACACCACCAGATGCAGCACACACTTGCCTCTCCACTGGCCTCTTAACCAAACTTCATTCCCTTCTCTCCCAGTTTTCCAGCTACATCAGACATTTCCATCCAAATTAATTCTATCTTCCTTTAAAGCCTCAGCTTTAGGAAAGCAGAATAGAATATGCAGAAATTTAAACATGACTGCAAATTGATATTATCTGGAGTCTTCCCTCTGCTACCACTCTGGGTGCAGAATTTGGCCCACTTTTGATGCTGTGTACACACGTCCTGTAGCTGTGGTTGATCCACCTTCCCCTTCTGCATGCTTAAGAGCCATGCGTAACTCAAAGGCTTGCATGGACTTATAACACTACAAGAAGCCAATGTCTCCATTTTGAGTGTCTCGCCATGCTGAATTTGGTCATTTGTGAGATGGTCTGCTCCTCCCTGACTTGCCTTGCTGCTTCTCTGAGAAAGTCTCTTGTCCTTTTCTCCTACCTGAGGGGCTTTTCCCTCTATAAAAATATTTCCTCTTACTTTCTCCCCCGCCCTTCTGCGATGGTGAAAAGGACGGGGGCTGTATTAGAACACACTGTAACAAACAGAACAGGGCACCAGCTGAACTCCTGCATAACTGTGAGCTTGTCAGCACCTTCAGCTGTAAGCCCAGCGCCAACAGGGCCCTGCTTTGGAAAGAGCCAAGCCAGCTCCTAAAAATCTTTTTGTTGCTTCATTTCATATTTGAGAAAGGTAGAAGTAATTGAAGTGAAAAGCAATGCAAGAGGAACCCCGTGCCAAGCTGAGGAACAGTGGGGCATTAAACACACAATTGCCTCTTAAATTCCAAGATTCTGAGCACACATCAAAGCCTAGAGCTTTGGCTAAGCTGTCATTGGTCTTTTTCCAACTACTCTGCAGAGGCCTACAGAAATAGAGAATTTCACAACCCGGGATGAGCCCATTGCTTTTTAAAGCTGACTTCTGGGATGCAATAAATTGCTGCCATTCCTTGGACCAGTGCTATTTTTGTAGAAAAAGAGGTTCCAGAACTCACCATGAATTATTATCTTATCTTATTATCTTAGAATGGCAATGGAACCCACCTGAGAGGTGCCAGAACTGAGGTCCGGCGAGTTCCCACTGAAAAAAGCCCGGTCTTGGACAAATGTACACATGTGAGTGGTGAGCCTGGTGGAGCTACAGAATGAGATTTCATGTAGACTTTATAAATGTTGGTAGATAGGGGGAAAGGGGTCACGTCTTTTGTATATTTCAGTAGAGGAAGGGATGTAGTAGGGCATCTGCTTTGCACGCAAAGGTCCCATGTTTAAAAGATAAAGGCCAGTTGAGAGTTTTGTGTGTGAGCTAGAAGCTGGCAGGAAGCATGGGAGAGTCAGAGCCATGCATGATTTATGCTGGAAGCCAAGGCTGTGGGTGTAGGGTCAAGTTGTATATATGTGTAAATAAGCCATATAGCCTGAAGACACCACAGTCTCTGTCGTCCCTCATTCTGAACCCTAGACTCTCACACCACTGGGAAATTGGGGTGGAGTGCAACATTATGTGGGCAATGTGATTGGCTACTGTAATGGTTCTAGGGGTTGCTTGTGTGTAAATCAACACCAACCTTGGCTGGTTGCCTGAATGAACCCTTTCTGTCTGGACAGCCACGCGCCCGTGGCTGTCTCAATCACTGGCAGAATCCGTTAGTGGGCGTTTCTTGAACTTCTTCCAGCAAAGAAGCTCTTTGACGCCTAGTCTCCCCCTAGCTTCTCTGCGCGGAAGCCTTCTGCGCAGGGAGGGTGTGGACATCGGAGGACCCGTGCTCTCCCCACTGGTTCCCGGCGAGGAGTCTTGGAGCCACCTCGCCGATTCCCCCATCTGCCCCCCTTCTCCACTGGTGTTACGCTGATTTCCTTCCCCAGAAGATGTGCTGCTTCTCTCCCTCCCGGGACGCTCTTCGGAATCCCTCTGGAGCCCTCCCTCTCCCTCTGGCTCCGATGGCAGTTCCCTGACAGCTACCAAGGGCACAAACTGTATTGGCTCATCAACAGCACGAAGGAGGAGCACCACTTATCTTCCCAAGTAATTTGGCAATTTTAGTCATACCAGCAAAATTGGCCAGCTTTCTTTTGCTGCTTTAGTTAGCATTAACGGTGTGGGGGTGGAGGCACCTTCGCACAAAATGCCTTTCCACATAGTTACTGTAAGTGTATGGTGGCCAGATGCAAAAGAGAAGGTAAAGCAGAGGAGGAAGGAGGACAGCAATATGAAATCAACCACAGAGGAAGTCTCCATGGTGAACTGTTGTTTATTAGGCCCAGCACATTTGCAGCACAGACCGGCCATCAAGCATTAAGCCCTCATAGAGTGTAATTAAATAAATATACAGTTTTGTTCCAGAAGTGCCACCACGTACTTTGAATCTCTGGGTGGGGAGTGAATGGACACTGGACAGCACTCACAGAAATGGAATACCTTGCTGCTGTTAAACACTACCAACACACAGTTAATGCTAGACCTCTTCTGTGCAATAATAAGTAGATATTTATCTAGTAGCACACTCATGATATTGGTCACATCACCCATCACCTATCTTCAGTGGGGGTATCTGTCACAGGCACCTCCAAATTCTCACTATTTTGCAGGTGGGATTCATACACTTACCAGAACTTTAGGCGTCCATATTTGTGGATTCAAGTGTTCTGTCGCCTTTGCACAACAAATCCACTTTTAAAAGAACCAGACTTTTTGCGGTTTGGAAAGTGACAGGGAAATACATTAAAGAGCGTAGGAAGAATGAATGAGTAACAGAAAGATATACAAACATTTCACAAGCCAGTCAGGATGAATGCGGAGTGAATGCTCATTTTCAAATAACCGCCCTGTAAACAAATCAGAACAAATGCTCAGGAAAGACCGGACATAGGCTAAGGACCAAAAAACTTTGTGCAAACACATCAGTATGAATGTTCAGTAAATAGGTCAACCGGAAGGGCCCAAAGAATCATTACTCAAAATGTGTTCGTCATAATAAACATTTCTCTTCCTTAGCAAACATGGGGCAGCCATATCTCTACTGCAAAAGAGGGGAATTTGGCGGATTTAACTTGTCATGCTGGGAAAAACTGATACCCAAACCCCCTCACCCACTCCTAATATACAACTTTTAAAGTTACCAGAACCTTATTTTTCTTTACCTCTTATCACCCTGTGTGATGAGTAAAAAAAAGAAAGAAGGATCTCATTGTATGATGACAGACTGCCCATACAGCCACACCATCAGAGGAGCATGCAATACATTTGCTATGTGCTGATTTTTGACCATGTGGTTCAGTCTTGACAGGTTAACATGGAACCGGCAAATTGGGTGGGATGCGTGTCTCTTTATATAGGGAAGGGCAGCAGAAGGCGTGTGCCACAATTGGTTAGAGCTGCACGGAGTTTCAGCCGCTGAATTTGGCTCCCAGTTCACCTGGCACCCCCTCGTCTTTTAACGCAGCACCACTATTCCCCAACGCATCACGCTGCAATTTCCGCATGTTCTGAGATGACATAACCACATCCCAAATGAGTTCCGGATTACATTTCATCCAGCAAATGCTTCAGAGACTGAGAACATTGTGTGCATTTCATTAAAGGGAAGGACTGCCTTTTCAAGACCACCGTCACCCTCACACATTGTATTCCCTGTCTTCTTCCAAGTGACTCCATTGAGCTGGACTCCGTACAACATAACACATTGCAGTCACGTTAGAATGCAAAACATATGAGGAGATACTGGAGGAATTAGGCATCTTTAGCCTAGAGGAGAGATTATGAAGGGTGGGGTGGTGATGGGACATGTGATAACAGCTTTCAGATGCTGACAAAGCTGCTATGCCCAGGAGAGAGAACACCTCTTCTCTGCTGAGAACTTCTCTGCAACAAGCAAGGGACAGGGCTGGACTGGAATGGTTTTTGATCTACGCCTCAGACATAGAAGAGGACCAAGTGTCTATAAGGGTTGCTTTGCCGGCCCATCTATACCAGAGGGGCAAAACTGTGTGTGATGTTGCTCACTTTTTTAAGACCTTGTATGACTGCTGTTCTTTTTAATTAAACTGTGGTCATTTAAGAAAAGAAAAGAAAGTGAATATGTGGTACAGCCTCTTTTGGCAAGTTTAACTTTGTATGCTTCCCTGAGTATACATTATTGAACTTACTTCTGGATAAATGTGCAATAGGCTTGAATTGAAAGTGGTTTAGTAGGAATACGTTATTCATATGTGTACTTGAATGCACAATGGCAAGACTGAAGTGTAACAAAGATTCTGGACTTCCAGTGTCATAAATGCACATGTAAAATCTGCCCAGATCACCTACAGAGCTGTGAAGATCCAGGTGAATTAACATGAAATGCTCCACAGAAGTTTTCATCAGAGTAAGGAAGGAATGCATAAGAACTACACCTATTAAAAATGGAAAAAGAAGAATTTGCAATGCTTTTCTTACTAAGCATCTAGCTGAAACTGAAGGGAGATAGGAGAGAAGGCTGCCCCAAAACTCTGAATTATTCTCTACTATCTAGGCAAGTTAATGACCACTTTCATTGGACTTTAACAAAACAAAACCAGATGAAATGTGCATAGAATTGCAGCAGCCTGAGTCTTCTTTGCTTTCTCTAGTTCAGTTAGACACCAGCAAAAAAAGGAAAGCATTTGCTAATGAGATACTTTGTAGTATCTGCTAATGTGGACAGGAACTTCTTTTTGGAGAGAATATCTCATAAGGGGCAGAGCTCTGAAGGCCACAAACTTTTTCATGATAATGCAGCATATCCTACTGTCAAGGTCAGTGACTTCATTCGGGTTGCGAATTCTGACCAGGTTTTGCAAGAGCTAAGGGTTTTACTTTACTTTTTAATTTTTCTATGGTAGAAGAACAAAGAATTATTTTATAAAATAAAATAAAATAAAATAAAAACATATATGGCTTTTGCAGCTTGCTTCCCCACCCCTCTAGCCAAGTCTTAGGTCAAAGCAAATTCATTTTTCCTTTGCTAGTTGGAGGCCTTCTTGTCATCCTAGAAGTGACACTAGCAGTGATGGTGCTGGGGGTTTGGTGGATGGTTGGGACCCCCGTACCCCTCTCTACTTGAGTCCAGAATTCTCTGAAGTTCAGGTATGATTTGGAATGGCCCTGTTTTTAGCCTCCCATTGTGTGCCTCTCCTGCTGTCTCTTTCCCCAAGCTTACAGAGGAAGTGGTCTTGTAGAAACCACAAGCCTCAGGCTGGATGCTTGTTAAGTTTGAAATGAGGTACTGGTAGCAGAGGAGCTGGTCCACTCATGAGGCAGACTGAGGCAGCTGCCTCAGGCAGCAGAATCCAGGGGGTCGCAGCTATGGGCACCACCACTGGAGAAGCAAGGCAAAGAGGTAGCAGCTTCTGGGTTGTGGTGGGATAGCACGATAGCCCCATGGAATCTTGTGAAATTTTGGGGGGATCTTGCAGGCTCTCATGGGACTCTTGCAAGATCATGGTGGAACCCTGAAGTCACCACCACACAAGCTAGGTAAGTGGGGCTTTAGCAGGGACACAGGTCAGCACTTACCCATTGTGCCTCAGGTGGTAAAATAGGCTGGCCCACCCCTGAGCTGCCCGCAATACATGCATGCAGGATAGGCTCTGATGCTGCTATAAGGATGGTGGTCACTTATTCATATTACATATGAATCAAGGGTTTGAAGAGTTAGAAATAGGAGCCCTTTTGTTCCACATGCAGAATGAATGTGTGAGGGGTGAGGCCGAAAAAGAGCGCCTGGCCCTTTGCACATAGCCATTGTCCAAGAAATAAAATATTATTTGTAATAACAATCATAACTAGATCTGTGCAAGATTGTTGTCATGTCCCCAGAACTGTTTTGCATCGCACTTACTTTATCCATTCAGCAAATTTATGAAATACCTTACACTCTGCCATGGAAAATGTCGTATCTTGCAAAATGCTGACAAACAGGGAATTCGGAGCCATGCAGCCCAGCCCTTAGGCAAAGCCCATCACCATATAAAATGGAACTATATTAATGCAAGTAACAAGGACAGCTGGGTTTGTATTATAGTCATTTAGATGTGGTGTGCATAAAAAAAATTAAAATGAAGCGTCAGGGCCTTTCCAACAGAAATCAAACTGAAATAAAAACATTCTATAAGAAAAAGTGTGACAATAGCCTCCAAGTGTAAAATACAAACAAAGAACAGACCCACAACCACACAAGTTTGGCTCCCAACTCCCCAAACTGATGTACAACATGGATCTAAGCATACTTACTCAAGAAGTGAGTCTCGTTGAGTTCAGAGGGGCTTACCCCACCAGTAAGCATGCTTAAGATTGTAGCCTATGCTTGTTTAACTTGGAAATAAGTTCCACATTAGCCCATCTCATACACAGATGATTTGTGATCATGAAGGAAATTAACCCCTTCCTCCATGTCCAGTTCCTCTAACAGCAAAGTTCTGCAAAGTCTTTATATGTTCAGAGGAAGGAACACAAATTGGGTTGGATGACAGGAGATGCCATGATGAGATCAATGTTGATGGCAGAGCTGTTGTTGCACAGGTATGGTTGGGGGAGTGCAAGTAACTGTGGCTATGCGTTCAAGTCTTTGGGCTGTTGTTGCCCATGAGAGAGGCTGCAAACATCAATATATATGAACCTAGCAGTAGATTTGAGATCACTGCATATACGGGTCATCCTGTGATTCATTTCTTAGTAGTTATTCCTTAGAATATTAGCAAGTTTAGGAAAGGTGGTGTGTGTGTGTGTGTGTGTGTGTGTGTGTGTGAGAGAGAGAGAGAGAGAGAGAGAGAGAGAGAGAGAAGGAGGCTTTGTGTATGGTTTTGTTAGAGGAGCTTAACTGAAGACAGTAGTCATAGGCGTGAGACTGAATGGCCTGAGTCAATAAAGAGGCACAGAATGCCTTGAGACAGGTATATAAAAAGCCAATTTATTTCCTGGTTTCCTTGTTTTAACCTGTTCATATTGCACAACCCTTTTGTTTTCATGATGTTTGAATTGCCTATTACTGTAATTAATTGTTTTTGAAGCCTGTTTTTAGTGGGACTTACTCCAGGGAAGGGTGCAAAGGACTGCAGCCTAGAAAAGCATCGGATCCAGGCAATCATCTCTCTCCGTCCCCTCCCCTTTTGGGTTGCAGATGAGGAACCTGTGGCACTACGCATGTTGTGGGTCTCCATCAGCTTCAGCCTGTCCAACAACATCTGGCAGTCCATGTATACCATTTCCCCATGCCTGTTTCAGACCAGCCACAGTATGGGTGAGCAGAGTTGCAGGTCAGATCACCTGTGCCATTAAGTTTAGATTTATATGTACACTGATTTAGTTATTTATTTAAGTGTGTGTGTATACAGCCTTTCAGTAGACAACTCTGTCATGGTGGCTTGCATAATAACAATATAAAATTACAGCTTCGACAATGGTAAAATGAAAAATAGCATAAAATTAATGGAATAAACATACAAAACAGAACAGTTTCTCTACAACATCAACAGCATTAATAAGGCAACAATACTGAAGAGCTCACACCCAGCCCTGAATCATTAGCTAAAAGAAATACAAAGAAGAAATTATTCTTCATGTACAGATCACCTGAAACAATAAATATGTCTGTAAGGGTCTTCTAAAGGGCTGGTGTGTGGTAGCTTTCCAGAGATCAGTAGACAATGAATTCCATAGTCATGGTGCCACCACAGAAAAGGCCCTCTCCCCAGCAGTTCTGCTGATCAGGATGCAGAGCAAACAAAGAGGGGTGATATTAATGTGTGGGTGGGCCTGCACTCCTTCATATAACTCAGACCTAGGGATGTGCAAACCTGATATTTGAAAAGGGAAACATCACGAAAGCAATGGCCCTTTTGCCACAACTGTCTGAGCTCGCAGCATTCAAGACACCAGCTGCCTCGACAGAGTTAAGGCAGTTCCAGATAAGTTCATTGCCATCTGCGTGGCTCCAAAGAGTGGCTTTAAATATTTCTAATGATACGGAGTGCCAGACTCGCTGGAGCCAGCTTTTCCAGAAAATCCTGCTGCATGCAGACTGCATGAACTATATAATTTGCTACTAGTCTTTTTAATCTGAAGTCAATATCTATAAAGCTAGTGGCGTGGGGGGGGGGGAGAGGGAGTGGGAAGGAAGTCCTTTGGAGTCAATATATGAAATCAGTTGGCTTGCTTGAACTGCCACTTTAAAGAACAGATTTCTAAAGAATAAAGGTCAGAAGGGAAGAAACAGCCTGAACGTTCAGAATTAATTTTATTAGTTTAACAGAATTTGTACAGCGCTTCACTGTAAATAAAACCTTTAAGTGGTTTGCAAAGGACAGAATGACCCTACTGATGAGGCTGCAATGATCCTCTCCAAGCCCCACATCTTTTAACATTTGATAGTCGTTGGACGCTGGGAATATTTGGGTATATTTATGTGGGATTTTATTTACGTTATTCCCCCCGGCACACTTGAATAGGAAAAGAACCCAGCATGCAAATAATAGGGCATTTGCAAAACCGTTGCTTTGTTGGCTCTGAAAGTGTGCTGGATCCATATGGTCCCAGGAGAACCGCAGAGATAAGCTTGAAACCACTGCTCTTGGAGAAGAAAATAATGGCATCCCTGCAGAGGGTGCCCTGCCTTGATTATAGGGCTCAAAACATCCCCTTAACAGAGAATGATTCTTGCACCAAGTTCAGAGTTGTTGAATTCAGTGTAAGGAACAGGATTCTTCTGTTTTAAATGGCTGGGAGAAGTCTGGCAGGCATAGTCCTTTCTGCCTCTGTGCCAGAAAATAAAGGGGTTTCAGAAAGCTCAGGCTTTGTCCCCTCACTCTCAATACCTGCAACCATGCTACCAAAGGGAAAGGAGGATCCAGTTTAATTTTTGGTTTTCAGCTACTTCAGGATACCCACCCCTTGCCCACACGTGGTGCAGCAAGTTGCCCATCCCTGTGTGATTGGTGTCCAGGACTTGGACTAAAAATATCCATATTAAAAATCTGTCTTTTGCACACGTGAAAAATCTCTTCTCCATTCCAAGCCACAGAGGAGCTTTGAAGGGAATAATTTCAATTCGTATTGCTTCTAAGCCAGGCAGATTGGTATTCAGAATACCATAATTAAGAGTTTGGGCATCATGACTGCTTCAGATCCATATACTCATTCCCATTCTCATCAGCAATGCATACAGGAGTCTGCTTATACCTGCTGACCTCTCTTGCTGAACTGATGCAAGATACAGGTAGGTAGCTGTGTTGGTCTGCTGTAGTCAAAACAAAATAAAAAAATTCCTTCCAGTATCACCTTAGAGACCAACTAAGTTTGTTATTGGTATGAGCTTTTGTGTGCATGTGCATGCACACTTCTTCAGATACCTTGCACACGAAAGCTCATACCAATAACAAATTTAGTTGGTCTCTAAGGTGCTACTGGAAGGATTTTTTTTATTTTGATGCAAAATAGTCATTAAAAGCCAGTAGCACTTATTTCCTATCTTTTTAAATTTAAATAATGAGGTCATCATAAAAATCTGGAAAACCTTAAAATTCAGCCCTCTTCTTAATTCAGCTTTGTAGAAAAGAATTAGTACATCCATTTCAATCTATGTTTTCATGTGCATTTTAGATGATTAGCCTACATTTTCTCAAGCACCCACAGTATCGTAAGGAGCAAAGAGGGCTGCACCACCATGCTGTCAAAGACAGAGGTACTGATCCCATGCTTGCAATATATGTAACCAATTTATGTAAACCAACATTTGCCCCACTGCTTTTCTCTGGGAAAACTAGCTCTGAATTGGAACAAGCTGCAGTTGAGTTAAACCTATTAAATCATAGGTTTTTCTGGGGAAAGTGGTGAGGCAAAGGGAATACCACTCAGACCTGTGCCTAAAAAGCAGGGGGCAAGCAGAAAACTACTAGAGAGTTTCTAGAGAAGTATGGGTGAGCCCTAAGTTTTTAATGAATAATGTAGCAAGAGTATGAGTCTGACCAAACTGCGGGAGGCAGTGGAAGACAGGAGTGCCTGGTGTGCTCTGGTCCATGGGGTCACGAAGAGTCGGACACGACTAAACGACTAAACAACAACAGCAAGAGTATCCAATGCATTTCAAGCCAACCAAAGAGACTCTCCATCATCAGGGCATTTTAGAATGTGTACAATAGCTATGAGACTTCTGAACAGTTGAGATGTAAATTTCTTCACAGTCATTCTTATTTTTATTTTATGTTAGCGGTTTCCCCCAGTTCTGCTACTTGAGACCCTTTTAAATTGAGATGTTAGTGTCTGAACCTGAAGCTTCCTACATCTAGGCACATTGAGCAGATCCGCACCACACATTTAAAGTACTGTATCTTATTCCCCCACCCCATCCCGAATCCTGGGAATGGTAGTTTGTTAAGAATGCTGGGAATCATAGCCCTGTGAGAAGAAAACTACAGCTCCCAAGGTTCTTGCAAGGGAAGTCAGGTGCTTTAAATGTGCACAGGATGTGCTTTCAATGTATGGTGTGGCTCTACTCTGAGTTATGGGTCCTGCTGCCCTTCCATATTTTCCTTCTCTCCATTTGTTCTTGATAAACTATTCCAAATGTTATCAAAAGCACAGGCCATGGTGAATGGTGCAAACGAAATGAATTTGTGTCAGTTGCCACAATTTGGCCCAGAAAGCCATATTCGAAACCTTATGCTGTATGGTAGAACACACTGATTTTTTCCTGAATGACTTTCTTTCTTTCTTTCTTTCTTTCTTTCTTTCTTTCTTTCTTTCTTTCTTTCTTTCTTTCTTTCTTTCTTTCTGGCAAGGGCATATAAATGCATCAGCCAAAGCAAAACCAGAACTCAGATGCACAGAGTAAGCTTCCGAAAGCCTGTCTCCGGTGCCGCCATTGGCGGTGTGGGCCATGTGTTTATTAATGGTATTGATCTTGGCAGGATCTGGGAAGACGCCCTTGTGAAGAAATGATGTGGCTGGGGCCTTGCACCTGGGACTATAACAAGTCACAGTTGGATGGCCTTGTGCTTTCAAAACCAGCCTGCTGAAAGCCAGTTAAACACATCCTCCAGGCAATTTAAATGTTCCTGGAAAGTTCTCCCAATAACAATCACATCATCCAGATAAACCCAACATGTGGCCCACTGAATATCTGCCAAAATCAAATCCATTAGCCTTTGAAAAGTGCAGGGGGAATTGCGGAGACTGAAAGGCGTCATGCTGAACTCGCGGAACGAGACAAGGAATCTTTGGACAACCCTTTGGATGTCTCTCTACTTTCCGGAAGCCAATGGCTAAGTCCAAGGTAAAATAATCACACATCTATATAACTGAGCGTGTGTCATAGATGCAGAGTAATGGGGCATGCAGCTCCCTGGTGAGTATGTCACTATTTGTATGGCTTTTGCATGGATCCAATTTAACATTCTGTGCAAACCTTAGGTATAGTCTAGCAACAGCAGTGCACATGCTCTTTACATTATTAAGCCATTTTATTTGAGACATTAAACTAGGCTAATCAAAAGGGTAAACCCTATGGATATTTTCACTTAAAGATGCAAATTGATACATGTTTATTGTTTGGAAAGTATTAATACAGTGGTACCTCGGGTTACAGACACTTCAGGTTACAAACTCCTCTAACCCGGAAGTAGTATCTCAGGATGAGAACGGAAATCATGCGGCAGCAGGAGGCCCCATCAGCTAAAGTGGTACCTCAGGTTAAGAACGGTTTCAGGTTAAGGACAGACCTCCGGAACGAATTAAGTTCTTAACCCAAGGTACCACTGCAATTTCATGTAATATTGAGGTCACATACAAATGGTCTCTCCACGAATATTTCCGTTACCCTCTCATCTGGTTTTCCAGATGAGTTTAGTGCATTCATCAAGAATGTGGCTCCTTATAAATAATGGTATTGGTGAAGCTAATAATCTTCTTTCCAATTCTAAAAGAGCCATCTTTCCTTCTCCTCGTATTGTAGCACCTACATGGAATGTTTGGGGTACTGTGATGGCTCTAACACTATGATATCCAGGGTGGAGCCCTCTCAGGCTAGGAATGGGGGGCGGGGAATATGATTGCATAAATTTGTTTATTTGTTTCAGTTCTCCCAATTACGTTTAAACTCAGACTTGAACCGGCATTTTCATAGGGGGAGCGGAATCTGCAGAGTGAGTCATAACTCATCAGATGACTCAGGCTACCTGGTCTCCCCTTAGAATGTAGTCAAACAAGTTCCTCATCCTCCCTCATATTTATTTCTTTAAAACTGTTGAATACCACTTTCCATCACTAGCTGACCTCCAAAGCAATTTCCTTCTATCCACAAAGCAATAATAAAAAGTCAAAGTAATTCAATTTAAATAATAAAATGAAATGACGATGATATTATAGTTAGAGTTCAACAAGCAATACAACTATAAGGGAAGGAAGCCCAAACGTTGTCCTTGGAATTCCAGCTACCGATTGGCTGCTGGTAGACCCTCCCCTCTCTTCCTCCAAGGGAGAAACCCAGTAGCTGCCTCATGGCTGAGAGAAGGTAGTCCACCATGTTGCAATGTGAAAGGGAAGCTACCTGAGTTTTTCTCCTGCCCAGGCTTGTGAGGCCTTATCTCAGGCTGGCTGGGTGGTTTGGACCTGTGCTCCATTATACACAGGCACTGAAAGTTCAAATTCTCACTGCTCTTCCTATTCTCTTCTCATTGTAGCCCAAAGTTAATATATAGCCAAGTAAATAAAGGATTATTTATTGCTTATTTAACCATCCAATTACTCAAACCTTGGGAAATTTGGAAGGCCCCAGGGAATTTGGATGAGAGTGTTCAAAGCCTGTTAAGTGGCACATAATGTCGTCCATCTCATATAGTTTATGAATCTGTTGCCCCACACAGGTTATTAAAAAAGGAGAAATGCTAATGTACCTAACTTTCTAAAGCACATCACATTTGCAATAATTTTTAAATAATGGCATATATAGCACAACAAAAGCCCTTTGAACAAGCAGCCTTTCCACCTCCTTCCATTTTGGTAGCAATGATTTGGAAACTTTCACTATGTTTTGAGAAAAACAAACTACCCCAAAAGCAACCACACACATACTCACCTGACAGTTCTCTGTAATAACTTACCTGATAAAAATCTCCCTCTGTCGCCAGCTTGTCAGGCATTCAAACACAACGGAATGTTGGCACAACTAAAAATGGACAAGATGTCATTCTCCATGCCCTCCCTCCTTCTCTCCCTCCCTCCTACATCTTTTCTAATATCTACCAGTGCAAGGAAGCTGGTTTCAGAGAAAATGAAATGCTGCTCTCTGCCAGTCAACTGACCGTTAGGGGAGCCATGATCAAGCACACACAAAGGAATACTTGACAGCAGCTTCAAAACTGGTTCTAGTACAGACTTCATGATAGCAGACCTCATGTGGTGGTTCCTGATTTCAGCACAAGGGATGGGACGTTCTGTCCAGAAATTCCATCGTGTCATATTTTGAGCTCCCACCACATGCCTTTGTCTTGTGTGCATTTGAGAGTTTTACACATCCTAAGTCAGGGGTAGGGAAGCTGTGACCCTCTAGATGTTGTCACACTACAGCACCCCCAGCCCTAACCATAGGTCATGCTGACAGTGGGTGTTGGGAGCTGGAGTTTATGACTCTGTTACAGTTTAGCCCACACAGGTTATTAAAAAAAAAAGGAGAAATGCTAATGTTGGGAGCTGGAGTTCCCAACAGCACTTGGAGGACCAGCAGGCGTACATTGATAGGATGCTATGATGATTGCCTTAGGAAGGGCCATAGCTTAGTGGTGCAGCAAAAGGCCTCCAAGTAAGTCAAGGAAACTCTTTTGAAGACACTGCCAGTCAGGGTAGACAATGCTGAGTTAGAAGGACCATTTTTATTCGACTGAGTATAAGGCAGGAAACATTGTGGAGAACATTTAACCCAGAGTAAGTGAGGCTACTGGCTACCTAAATCCATTAGAAGTGGTGAAATAAAGCAATACGGCAATGGCTCTCATTTGATGACTTACTGTGTTGTTTGTTAATTCTGGAACCCCAGAAACCATTTGAATAGTACTAATGTTGTTCAATGTTAATACATCATCATCAAAGGTACCATTCTCTACTGCTGACTGGAGATTCATTGGAAAGTGTGAGGTCAGTGAAGGTCTTCACAAAGTTGGATTTGAGAGGGACATAGAACTTAATCCACATCAGAGAGGGAGGTATGGCAGCTTTGAGTTCCAAGCCTTCATCAACTACATACTCAGAGGCCTGGTAGACGGTTTCATGGTGGTTTTCAATAATAATAATAATAATAATAATAATAATAATAATAATAATTTATTTGTACCCCGCCCATCTGGCTGGGTTTCCCCAGCCACTCTGGGCGGCTTCCATAGAAACCAAAAATACACTAAAATATCACACATTAAAAACTTCCCTGAACAGGGCTGCCTTAAGATGTCTTCTGAATGTCAGGTAGTTATTTATCGCTTTGACATCTGATGGGAGGGCGTTCTTGATGACGTCTTGATGTATTCAGACGTCTTGATGTCTTGACGTCTTGATGACGTCTTGATGTATTCAGAGAACCAAGAACAGCATGTATGTCACATGAAAATGGTGCTGAAGAGGTTGTGAGAACACCAGCTGTATGCCAAGTTGAAAAAATGTTGGTTCTGCATCTCAATGGTAGATTTCCTGGGTTGCTGCCTCATGCCTGGGGGGCGGGGTTCAGATGGATCCTGCTAAGGTGCAGAGCGTAGTTTCATGGCAGGCACCCAAGATGAAGAAAGATCTGCAGAGGTTCAAAGGGTTCGCCAACTATTACCACAAGGTTGTGTTGGCCTATTCAAGACTCATTATGCCCCTCACAGATTCTTGGAAGGGCAAGAAGCCATTCCAGTGGACTGCAGAGGCGCAAAAGGCATTTGGGCATCTCAAAACACACAGGCCTGGCCAGGACGGTTTTCCTGTTATACCTTCTGGGCTTGATGAGGCATGTGACCCTCACCTGTCCCGACCCTACTCCAGCTGACAAATCACACGCCTTCTCCCTGAGCTAGTGAGCCACACCTGAGCTGTGGATCATTGCCTGCCTTCCCTTAGAACTTGACAGCTGTAAGTTCTGGAATCCTGATTTCAGGGACTGGGCAGGGGAGGAGGAGTGGTGGTGGAGACCGCCTCCCCATCCTGACCCTTCCAGGGAGGAGGAAGAGGAAGACAGTATAGATTTACAACAGGGATTTGTGGGAGGTCACAGTACACAGGCAGATAAGTGGAAAAGTTGGGAAATAATGGGAGACCCAGAGCAGCTGGCTGACACTTTGTCAACAGAAAGCATTCCAGACCCTCCATTTCCCAGAACCTGGTGAGCCTTAAAGGTAGGAGAGCAAAGCGCTCCAAGACAGAGGGTACTTAGCGGCACCCGTGGAGGAGATGATAGCGATGAATGAAGAAGTGGGAGAGACGGGGAGGGGTGGAGATTCACTCGGGACAACGTCATTATCCAAGAGGCTGAGTTCCATAGACTCCCCCTTAGTGACTCAGCATGAGGCTTTGCCAGAAAATGTCTGTGGCACGGTGACATGTTGAAAATAAAGCCCTTTCAAAGATCTAAGCTATTTTCATTCTTCCATTTTTTAAGAAGCCAGGAGAGAATATCCACAGTGCATTCCACCAGTAAAAATCACGGCCCAGGCTTCTCAGACTTAAAGCATTTAGCTGTCTGCTTCCTTAATCTAGTCTAATATAACATAGCGTGGCCTCTACCA